GCACCTTCTGCTCAAAAAGTATCCGGATTTTGTTGTTTGTTAAGTACTCCTTAAGTAATAGACCTTTTCAAAAAAATTTTTTGTGTGTTATGTTGGTACACCTTTTCTTGACATATGGTACAAATTTGAGCGCCATCTATAAATTAATTTGTTTACAGCAGCTGTTAATGTGAGACTACCTCAAGTGCATTTAGCGATTTTTATTATGGAAAATTCTTGTTGTACGTGATTTTTTGACCAAACACGGCACCACTGTCATCGCTAAGGCACCATATTCGCTAGATCTGGCGCCGTGCGACTTTTTCCTGTTCCCGAAACTCAAATTGCCCCTTCGTGGTAAGCGTTTTGAGTCGATTCAATCGGTAAATGAGAATTCGCCGAAGGAACCGAAGGAAAAGCCATACCTGCACGGGCCTACGAAAAGTGTATGGAAGATTGGGTTAAGCGTTGGCATATGTGTATCGCTTCAGAAGGAGCATATTTTGAAGGAGATAAAATAATAATAAAATTTAAATTTGTGTTTTATTTACAAAATCCGTGTACTTTTTGAGCTATAGGTATTGATCATATCAAAATTTATGAAAAGCTATCCAATATAATCCAATATCAGATCATATATTATTTATTGATCATACACGCAGATACCCTTCCGTCTCACATAATTAACAGATATTTCGCGTTTTAATTTTACATTATCCCTATACATAAACTGAACCATACAGTTGTGTATATAATTAAACAGATCTTTTATTTTTACTGATGATTGTTTTTGCAGACTATCAGAAACTACTTCACTTATGTTCCTTTTCTTAGCCAAGGACAGTCACAGAGAAAGTGTGTGATTTTCTTTTTCCTCTAAGTTTCTGCAATTCCTATAATAAGTTTTGGAATTGAAGGTACAGTTTCTCTGTGTGGACTCCACATCACACTAATATATACGGTACGGTCTGTAGGGAAACATATACCGGTACCCATAAAACTTCATCCATAAAAAAACCAAGATGGGTTAAACTGTCTGCTTTTTCATTCTCTTAAATTTTTTTTTAACCTGGAAATATAAGATTGGTATTCGTGACTTGATTTAGCCAGCTGATTTCTATGACTTAGTAGTTTTGATTAAATGACAAAATGTTAGTGTTTTAATTGCTGGTTGTCTGTGATCATACATTATTTGAAAAACTAATTGTAATATATAAAAGGACATGTATTGGGCAATATTAAAAGGTATCCACTGATTTTGGTACATTTTTGAACGAAATTTTTCTTATGGGAAATCAATTATAATCAAATGTATCTATAACCTCTCTTCAATTTTCAAGTAATTTCATAATTTCATCGATGTCAAACTTCTGTAGTTTATCGGCGAAAACCTAAGCATTGAAAACCTTGATTTTCAATAGACCTTCGATCTGCCAGTTTTTACAATTAAGAGAGTTTTGCTGAGACTGAGACAAACAGTAGTTAGACTATGCAAGTTCAGGCTTATACGATGGATGCATTAAATCTTTCCAATCAAGTTTCCAGTCATGAAAGATGTGTGTGATCCAGCATTGTTTTTACGAAACACAACCCTTTTATTCCTCAATTCTGATCGCTTTAGCTTTATTCTTTCATACATTCGATTTGTGAGCAGTAGAGCACCCAATTAGCCGTTGCACCAGGAGTAACTCTCAAGTGTAGCTCATAATAGAGAAGTCTATTCCAATCCCACTAAATACTTAACATGATCTTTTTCACCATTAATCCAGGCTTGTATGTCGTTTATAAATTTTCACCGGCCTTACATCATGATCGCTTGTGTTGAATATTCTCATATTCATTTTTCATTGCCTCTAAAAATTCGCTTCAAAAATGAATGAATTTCGTTCCGTTTCAGTTAATTCATATGGTTTGGAACATAGAGCCTACTCTTTTTAAATGACTCCAAACTGTTATGTGGTTGCTGTTTTGTGTCTCCGCTATCTCCTGACAGTTTAGGCCGTGTGCGAGTTGCAGTAAATTGATGGTAAATTGAGGGAAATAGTGAATTATGTTGGTATAACTGCGAATGTTGGTATTTACAAGAATTTCGAGTAGGGTAAATTATATAAAAATTAGGTAAATTAAATAAATTTAAAAACTTTATAAACAAATTATAAATAAATGCAATAAATAAATAATTAAATATTTACTTATTTATTTACTTATTATTTAATAAATAATTATTTAAATTGAATTTACTTTAACTTAATTTACTCAGACTCGCACACAGCCTTACTCTACCAGTTTCGAAATTTTAGTAGCTTTTCTAGTGACTAGCCTATCAGAACGAGTTATATCTCGTTTGTGTTTATAAGTACCAATATCATCTAATGACAAGAAAACATTTATGGTATACTTTTCAATATTACCATATTTAAATACTGATTTAAATATTATCATCCCAAATACTAATAATACATATTTATATAAATAATAATAATATTAATAGTATTTAAATCTTTTAAATACTAAACTTATTATACTGTAATCCTTTCTTTTAAAGCTTCCTTGACTTTATCTAAAAGTTGCTCTAAGCATTTAAATAATTCAAATTATTCATTTTGAATTCTGTTCTGATAATCTAAACTATTCTATTCTGATATTATTATTATTATTTAACAAACAGAAGAATTGTTTCTTTGGCATGTCTCCCACTTGAAATTAGATTCGCTCCTGGACTTTGAAAATTTTAAATGTTTGCGGCCATAAACAATCTTATTAACCTGAATACAAAAAATTTTAATTTCACAGTGGCGTTCGGATTTGAGCATTATCTTCTGATAATCAGCACTCCAAAGACTATATGCGATTATAAATTATAATTTCAAATGAAAACAATACAAAATGTATTAAAACATATTTAATGGCGAATTATCATATTTATCACTGTTGCAATCTTAGAGATCCGAATTAGGTGTATTGACGTATATCCACGTATAAAAAGAATGGTATATTTCCAAAGAAATTCAGTCAAGAGTTGGGTGTACACTAATCAGAATGAAATTTGCTTTAAGTTTAATTTTCTTTTGTATTTTCTCCACAAGCGTTGCATTGGAATTGGGACATTTGTCCCGCAACAATGCTGAGATAGAAAAACGTATTGCAGGTGGGGATCTAGCACACGAAAATCAGTTTCCATATCAGGCTGGATTAAGTATTGAACTCCAAAATGGGTTTTACACTTGGTGTGGTGGTAGCATTATAGATAAGAATTGGTTATTGACAGCTGCTCATTGTGTTGAGAAGTAAGTACGCTAGTACGTTTTGGTCTATGATACATTTCTTTAAAGACAATTTTGAATTTGGTAGCGTTATATCAATTACGGTTAATCTTGGCTCAACCAAACGTTTGGAACCCAAACATCATCTAAAACTGACACCTGCTCAAGTTATTTTACATACTAACTGGAATAACCGAACATTGGAAAATGATATAGCATTACTGCGCCTACCAACGCCGCTTACATTCAATGAATCTATATTTCCGATCAATTTGCCGCGTTTAGCTAAAACCTATTCCACTTATGCACACCATGAAGGCACTGCCACAGGTTGGGGAAAAACTAATGACGGTTAGTTGTAACTTTATCAAATGATAGATGGGAGCATTGTTGTATATAAAAAAAAATATTTTTCTAGTTTCTCCTACGATATCTGAACACTTGCGCTATGTCACAAGGTTTGTGGAATCCAACGCTGAATGCCAATTCTTTTATGGCGCATCAGTACATGACAGTAATATATGTATTGATACTACTGGCGGACAATCTACTTGCACTGGTGATTCAGGTGGTCCATTAGTAACACACGATAGTACTCATGGGCTTATACTTATCGGTTTAACATCTTTTGGCAAGTCTTCCGGCTGTACCAAAGGTTATCCCGCTGTCTTTACTCGCATCACGTCGCACCTGGACTGGATCCAGAAGATATCCGGTGTAGCTTATTTTTAAATAAAATGCTTTGTGTCAGGCACACAATAATTAAAGTGAAAAGTGCAGGACACTACTATATTCAAATCCATTGACAACCTACTAAAGACTGCTTTTGTTTATAATGAAATTAAAATGTGGACATTTAAATGAGCATGTGTAGATCACTATAGTTCATTAAAAATTATTTATAACCCAAACTTTTCTTATAACTAATCATAATTTGCTTTTGAATTCCGTTTCCAAAGTACAAATAAGAATTTCTTATTAAAAAATACAATTGGTAAAAAATAAAAATGTTTAAATGATTAAAAATATAAAATAAATTGAGTTTTATTTATGAATTAAATATTCTTTTCGGAGTAAGAAACCATATGAAATTTTCTATGAAAAAAACAATAATCAGTTGGATCAGTTCTTAAAACTTATTTTAAGGCAATACCATACATAGTTTTAAAAATAGTCTATTTATAACTTACTCCACAAGTTAATACGACTACATATAATTTTTTCTGTGTATACATCGGCACACATTCTGCACAGTAGGAGCAAAAACAATGAATTTAAGTACAGATTATATATGAGTGCTAATCCATATACTCATAATAATAAGAGGATACTAAAACAGTGTATCCTGTGTCTCTTCCAAGACACATGCTTTGCAACAAAATTCTTGGTTTTGATGAAAGCCCTTTTTCTCATACACAATAACTGTTGTTCTTGCCATAGCACCCCATCGGATCTTAGAATTCATGAAAATTAAAGTATTAAAAAACAAATGTGGGGAGAATATAAGAAACGGAAGGATGGATGGAAATAATTAAATCTAGCCTGGGTCGTGGACAAACCTTGTAGAGCTATAACTCGATAGGGCACTAAGCAGATGAGCTACATTGGTCATGACATTGGCAATTACCTTTTTTATATGTACGCTATAAGTAACTGTGTAATATAGAAATATAAATATATATGCTTTTTATATATTATATATATAGAAATATAATATATAAAAAGCAATTACTTGTCATGTATAAATACATCTATTCTCGTAAGCCCTGAGCTTCTCGCTGTTTCAAATTGAAGCATTGAATTGGAGTATTGATATAGCTTTAAGATCTCAGTTTACACTCTCACTACAATCTTCATCATTTCAATGTTATTGTTGTTATTGTAACCCATGGGGTTACAATTCCATCTATCGAGCCATACCTTCTTTCGAGGCTCTCATTGAGGCTGACAAAAAAATACACAAACTTAAAAAAGACCTGGGCACTTTTTAAAGATATCTTCAAACGCGACTTGGACAAAGTTTCTCTGTTCATTACTTGGATAAGAGAGAGAAACAATTTCGCAGCATTATCATCAAATTTGCTAAAGCATCTATTTCTGTAGATACGATTAAGGTGTTAAGGCCAAATATTCCTAGTAACGCTATGCGCTGTGCCGAAAAACGCGATAACCTTCGCAAACTAAACCCAGCCAAATATTCATAAAACAATGGACGAACATTGCCGTAATGAATGGAATGTAATACGATTATATATTTGATGGGATCACCGTCCCTGATCTCAAGCATTGTGGGTATCACAAACCTACATTCCCCCTTTCATTACATACAACACTCACCACCTACTACATATTTCTCACACCCCATAGCCTTGAAATCCATTTATGTTTCCTTATCTACAACAACTTACTATAAATTCAAATTAAGTGAATGCACTCCGTGTTTTCAGATAAATCTTAAACAAATGCTAATCACACAATAATACGTATATAATAATTTTAATTATATATAAGTTGATATGTATTCTAAAATAATATCAAACCGTGTTTTACTTCTATTTTAGCGTAAATAGAACTAAAAAAATATAATATATTATTAACATTTTATATTTATTTAATATTTCATTTAGAAGCATTATAAAATTGCTAGGAGTTTAAATATTTATAATTTTGATTGTAGAGAAATTTATTTTATAATACATATAGCATCGACTAAAACATTATTGAAAAAAACTTAACTAATTTAGTTGCACCACATACGACCGCTTTTTCTTTCTTTCACTTTCAAATATATTATATGCATATTCAAATTGATTTTTAATTCATTCTTAACTACTATAATTTATTAACTAATTATATATTAAATATGAAAAAATTAATTAAAATTACAGAAATTAGATTTAGAATCAGGCACAATTTATCTTTCAAACATTTTTAGTTTAATATTTTAATATCAACGTTAGCTATTACCGATTTATATATAACAAAAAAAGATCTACATTTTTCAAGAACAATTTAAAATTATATTTAATATATTATTTCATATAAAAATTACTTTAGGAAGTTCATAATTACATTTATAATAATCGTTATATTATGTTCAATTATTTTATTGAAAAATATATAATTCCTAAACTTCTCTTAAAAATTTCAATAAAGTAACTATACTAATTATTTACATAGAAATACTTTTATATTTTATTTTAAATTGCATATCTGAAGACAAACCTAAATAAAAAATATTGAATAAAATTATGATAAAACCTGTAGTTTTTCGTAAATTAATATTCTTCTTATAGTCTCTTAAGTTATTTTGGAATGCCATTTTACAAATTGTTTTTTATTTAAACGTTTAAGTTTCTTACAATTACTATTGCAATTAACAAATTTAAAAATTAAATTAGAACCAATTAATAAAATAGCTTAAACTGTCAGTTAGTTTTTAATATAATTCAAACTTTAAGTTTTAAATTAAACAGTTTTAAAATTTAATATTATTTCAAATTTATTAGTATATAAAATGTTTGAAGTTTTTGTTTGTATGCTTTATATATAATTTTATTATATCTTAACGATTTTATTTTTGTTTTAAATAATTTAAATAACTTTTATTTTAAATATTTTTTAGTATTTATCATTATTACATAGTTTAAAATATTTAAATGTTTAAAAGTTAGTGTTAAAAATAATCTGATGCAGAATATAGCAAAAAAACTTAAAATATTGCAGAATCTGCTATCGTGTTCTTTTACAATTTTTTATATAAAAAATAAAAAAAAAACACCAGTTGACTGAATATTTTAATTTACAATTTTTATTTAAATTTGCAAAAGCAGAAAAATAAATTATAAAGAAATAAATATAAACATTTTTACACGTTCAATTGAGTTTGGTTTTTAACTTGTATATATAAATGTATAATTCCTAAATATAACTCACATTCTTAACAGTATAAAAATTATAAAAAGTATTATGATACAAAAACAGGCTAATAAATAAGTACACGAGTTAAGGGAGAAGGCCTCGGCACCGCTGCGTATTAAATGTGGCGGATATCTTCGTTGTAAATGTCGTTGGGTGTGGGTGTGGGTGTGCTGCATTTCAGTAGAAAACATCCCAATGGTGTTCGTCGTGTTGGTGCAGCTGAAGCAGCCATCACCCACGCCAACGTACACACGACTGAAGCTATTAATCAACTCCAGCAAAGCCTTGACTACCCTCGATAGCCTTAATTAATTTATCTTTAAGCTGCACATAACCTTCATAAGGTGGTAAATCCAAGCGATTGAAACTAAAAAAAAATCATAATATAAATAATATAACTAACAATATAAAATTATCAATATGTTATAACATATACCATGTATGTGCTCTGGGATAATTATTTGGTGTTCCCCATTTTTCAATTGTAAACATTTGTGGACCATTTGACCCATATAACTCTTTAAAACCATTCATGGGTACACGTGATGTTCCTGTTACAAATTGTAATAAACGTGAACGCATTTCATTAGAGAAGGATAACACCGCACGCCAGAACCACTGTATGATAATATGATTCATATGGTAATCGCCCTTATAAAGCGTATTCTCACGCCAATCTTTAACATCTATATTTTGTATACCACACATTAATAATTCCAACTCATGCTCGTCAAAAATTTTTATTAAATTCAAAGGTATAACGGACCCAAAACCATCTAAGAATGCGGACATTTGCTCTTTAACGCGCGCTACAAAGCGCCATTCGATAACAAGTCTAAAAATAAAAATGAAAATGAAAATATTAATAGTTATAAATTAGAGGAAAATGTCAAATCATAGAATCAAATTGAATAATTTATGTAGAAACTTCAAATAATAGAAACAACATAATTTTTAATTAAGAATTTTATGTCCTATGACAAAAGTTTTTAATTCCAAAAGAAATTTTTTTAATTAACTAAATACTTGGGGCTGGCCATATAGCTGATTCGGTTATTGCCAAATATCCAACATCAGTGAGCCTTTGGAAAAATCTATACAATGGTAAATTCTATCCATTTAAAAAACTGTTATATGTGGTTCAAAACTACAACATATAAGAAGAGATCTTTTTATACTCTTTCACCTTGTTGGATCCGTAAAATAATTCTATGTACATCAGTGATACATAGTTTTACAGTCACTGTACAGCAAAACTTTGTTGGAACGTCTGAATCTTGCATTAATTTGCATTTATTGCATTGCTTTGCTCCATTAATTTAACTAAGCGTTTGAAAATGTACGAGCTCTAAGATGTCCGACACGGTTCCAAATATTTGAATCGAATACTTTATATGTTCGAGCAGCTCTAAATATTTACAGTTAATTAACAAGAACTTCTGCATATCATGGTGTTTGCAGATACAAACGATAAAAAGTTTGTAGTTCCCAAATTAATTTCTAAATTGTTGTACGGTAACACAATGGCTCGCCCAATAAATCTAATAGACCCAATTATAATAAGACATCGTTACGATCACAGGTATTATATAGTTCGCTATGTAAATTGTTCTTGTGTTTTCCAGTATTTGGCCTGTTCACAAATTGCTTGAACATCATATACTTTTCAGTCTGTGTTTTCAACATTGTTCAGAGATAAATAAAAACATCAGTAATATCCTACACTTTAGTCATATATACAGGTCCTCTTATCATTTCAGTTACATATATTTATTATATGTAGTTACACACTTACTTAATGTATTCATCTTTGTTTTCATTCGTTACATCAATGTTTGCACCACCAGGTTTTAGTTCGTGTTGACTTTTCTGCCCAAACGTATCCTCATCAACACAAAATGTTAATTCCAAAATACGTGGATCGTTTTCCTTTATCCACATAAGTGAATTATAATATTCTGTATCAACAGATTCCATATCTTTAAGATCAATTGACTTTTGTAACATCATTTTATAAAACGGACGTATGAAGAATGCATCAAGCAATTTGCCATGATATACTGCCATACCAGCAATACGACCAATAAATCTAAAAACCACAAAAATATAATTATTATATTGTTAATTAAATGAATACTAAAAATTAAAATTAATACTTACTTAAAGTAGCTCAAATGTTCTTCATTGCAAAGCCCACTGCCATTATTTATTTGTAATGTATAATTATCCATAGCTGAGTACTCAAACAAACCATAATATGGATTAAACATTTCCTTTGATAATAAGTAGAACCACTCTCTTGCAAGGCCACCATAATCTAAATAAAGTTTAAAAAACATGATGAATAAGTAAAATATTAATTGAGAATAAAATAATAACGAATATAAATAAAAAAAAATAGACGATTTTATATTAAATGAATGCATACCTAAACCTGTCTCTCCTTCAAATTCCACCCATAATTTAGTCTTAAGCAGATCTGTTTTGGTAACAGAGCTAATAATTCTATATGAATCTTCCAGTATTGATGTACGACGTATGCGTATTTCAAACTTATTAGGTACATTGGTCTGTTGAATAAGAAAAAAAATAATCAGTTGCTTAAGCTACAAACAAGAAAATGCAATTATTACTGGTTTTCTCAGATGGCTCTTAAAGTATTCATATTTTTGTTTATAATCACGAGAATATGGTACAGCTTGTCCAGCAATATTTGGATTGGATAATCTTGGATCTTCCCATTGTGTTGTACGGGTATCTATAAATTGTAGAAATAAACTAGTAACAAAATTTGGAAATTTTTTTTTTAATAAAATCACTTACTATGATCAATATAAAATACACGACCATCAGTATGCATACGTTCTTCCCAACCTTCTGGCAACGGTCCCAAGTCGTCTTCGACACGTCTAGTTTGATTTGGCATAGGACTAGCTCGACCATTGCGTGGATCAATCCAAGTTGTACGACGAGCTGCATGATCAATGAAGAAGGTACGTCCATTCGGCGCAACTTGCATCGACCACCGTGGAGGTAAAGGTTCTTCATCAACATTTAAATTCTATAATATGTTGTATAATTTATTTTAATATATAAACATAAAATAAAAGTAACTAAGTAATCATTTTTAAATATAGAAAAATATATATAAATAAAGTAACATTAAAAAAAAATTAAATAATTTGAAATTGTATTAAAATTGAATCGAGCATTTTACTTGTTCTGTTACGGCTGCGTTATCTTCCACGGAATTTCTTCTTGTTGATGATGCTGATGTTTCAGAACGATTACCACTATCAGGTTGATCACTATCTTCATTCTGCCGATTGAATTTAAGATGGCAAAGCATTACGCAACGAATTAGTTTGCAAATGATCGTGTTTATATAGGAAATAAAAAGAACAGAAACAAAAATGTCAGAAATTCATAATTTTGAATAAAATTTTGAATTTACTAATCCAAAAAAAAAATTATTAGCAAAAAAAAAAGAGCCAAAGCAAAATTTAAACAAATCTTTTAACGACCAAAAATTAATTTACATTTTTAAAAAAATGATATATAAAGCAATGTAATTTATATAAAAAACTATAAGAACACAAACTAATTGAAAAAAGAAATTAATTATAAAATATATGTGATGAGACAAAAGATGTGTAGATGAAAAGTTTTTGAATATATACGAGTAAAATGTTATAAAGGCAGACAAAAAGTACTACCCTCGTTAAGTATTAAAGTACAATAAACTTAGCATAATTAGTATAAATTTTATAATTATTTTTAATAAATAAGTAATTAATTAAACAAAATGGTTTAAATTTTAAAATTTAATTTGAGTATAAAAATTTCATTTAATTTTAAAAACTTAATTCTAATAAAAATCAAGTCTTTGATTAATAAAAAAAATGCGACTTGCGCTTTTTGAATTATAATTGCAGTATTTTAAATAATATTTTAATTTTAAGTTATATTACAAACAAAAAAACTATATGCTATATAAAATTTAAATACTAAATTTTCTTATAATTGTTTGGGCAAAAAGAATTGAGCGTTTTTCTATGCACATTATTTGAAGTGTATGTTCTGTTCATATTAAATAAAATGTGCAGGATACAAAAAAAAAGATAGATACTCTAAAATATATATCTTTAGATAGAGTAAAGATACACTCACAATCAACGTTACACTCTCATGATAATTTATTTTATTTTTTATCAAAATTTATAAAATAGACATTAAAACTTCCAACAGAACAGAACAGAGCAGTATAACTTAACCGAAAAAGAAAACGTTCCGCCGTTTGTCTTATGAACCCAGAACATTTTTTGCTGAAGATTATCTGATTACAGACCATGAATAAAATTCCAACCTTAGTCTTCCACCTGACCCAAAGTACGGATGAATTTCAAACATAATATGTTTTATAATATGAATCACTTTCATATATTCCTACAAAATAATACAATATATTATATGATATTATCAGTAAAACTGATTCATATATTCCTATAAAATTTTTATTTGATGGTTGGTGGTTCCCAACAGAATTTTTTTTTAACTTATTATATATATATATGTATATACATATATAGAAAGCATTAAAATCAAATATTGTATTAATGAAAACTGTTTTGAATAATAAAAAAGTCCGTTGTTATTATTCAGCTATTACTTTATCATTGCTGAAATCCAATCTTAAACACAAATAGTTTATATGAATTATTAGTGAAATAGTTAATTTTGTTATAATGACCATTAACCATGAACTACACCAGCAATCATTTCCATTAATTTTTTTACATTTCTATGAAGAATATATAATATAATATAATATTTCTATGGCATACAAGCCAGTTTAAATCCATACACCCAAGTAAGATTATTAATCAATTGAAGCGATTTGTATGATTAAATTCGTAATATAGATGACAACAACAACTACAAAAGGAGGTATTTGTAACTCGTATATAAAATGGACAGTATTACAAGTGGTAAACTACGTGAACACAGTGATATTCAAGTTATGAAATATAGTTTCGAAATGTACAACAACAACATTATTTACTTAAATGTAGTATATAAAAATGGTTGCATTATTGGACAAAAAGAATATACATGTATCCTTTGTGTTATGAATAAATTGTCGAATTATATCTAACCGCTTCTCTTGAGGTCTGCCGACTGCCAAAAATGTCTGTTGAAATATGTTCACCAAAATGTGATTGCTGTGATTGCTGTGATTGTTGGCGTTCCATGTTATTGCGGTTACGCAAATTTGTCATTGCTCGTCTCGATAGAGCAGTGGGTACTCCAGGTGCCTGCCGCACTGGGCGTAGATCAGTCTGTAAGCTAGTTGCAGAGATTTGAGACCTATTAGTCGGATGTCTTAGTGAATTGTAAACAAAACTATTTAAATAATTAAAAAAAAATGTTGGAGGCGAATTCAGTAAAGTTGACGAACACAAACAGGTATCATATAAATAAAGAAATATGGCTTTATATAGGCAAAAGAGTTAAACAGAACGAAATGTGTTTTTTATTACAACCTTTCATAATCCATGTTTGAGTTGTTGTTGTTGTTATTGTTGTTGCTGTCATTATCACTGTGACTACTGTTACTGTTATTATTAAAATTGTTCGAACTGTTTGAATTTAATGATGTTAATGATTGGGTTCTTGAGATTGTGTTTTCCTCTAGACTACACTGACTGATGGTATCCTAAAAATTATGAAAATTCATGACAAATTAAGCAAAATATGAAATAAAATTAGAAAGTAAAAAAACTTATAACAAAAAAAAATAAACAAAAACAATAACTTAATTGAAAAGAAATTAGCAACAATTGTTTATAGGTGTACAACACAACTAGCCCCATTTTATGAAAATTTTGGATTTGTACCAACTACTACGCTTCACACTACCGAATCACACTAAAGTTACACTTTAATAATTAATAATAAAATCTATTTACAAAAATACGTGTCAGGTACAAATTTGTATCGAATATATCACAATTTTCGCTTTCCAACTGATTACTGCTTTTAGTTGAAAACAAATCGTCACTCGCAGCGCTATGATTCTCTTCATTATCACATATATGATTCTCCACATCACTGTGTTCTTCATGCTCATCAACGTTTTCGTTTTCGTTTTCGTTTTCGTTGTGATATGAACCACAGTCAGTACAACTTATTCTTCCATTTACAGCAGCACGACCATCACACGTATCACACGAATGACAACAGTCCGAACATGATTTACAGCTGCTATCCATGCTACCTGTGCGGGAGCTTGTGTTGTTGGTAGCACTGCCAGTCTCATTTTCGTTGATGACTGTAGAACAATTTTCACAATTGTTATTTTGCGCGTGTAAAATTGCCGTCACTGTACCGCCCACAGGACCATACTTTTGTATAAGGTTTAATTATAATTATAATTACAATTATAATATGATTAATTTAAAGATATAAGTAAAGTTAAAAATAATTTTAAAAAAATTTGTTAAAACATGCAACTATTTAATATATATTCAAACCAATTGAACATGCATAACACCTCGAATGATATTAGTTAATATCACCACCTATGTACACCAGTTAATTTGGTATTTCTATAATGCTACTGTGAAACCATATATATATAATTACCGTCGCTCTGCCTGTTTCGGAGTCATCCACACTTATATGAAAACGTCTTTGGAAATCTGATGCTGCTTGTTCTACATTCACATTCGCGTTATTGATTGTTAATCTATTTGTAAAATGGATTTTAATAAAGTTTTGATAATAAGACCGAATATACCTACGTGGTTGGTCTTTCCCATTGTGTGGTGCGTGCTGTATGGTTCACGTAATATGTGCGACCATTAGCGTCTTGACGTTCCTCCCAACCAACTGGTAAAGGATCTTGACCACCATTTGCTGTAAATGGATTCTGTAATAAAACCAAAATATTTATATAAACTCAGTAATACTATTTTTATTTTATTTAATGATATCTACCATATCTATGTACTTACAACTGTTTGTGTTGCGCCATTAAGTGAGACATCCTCCACATGCTCCCATTCATTTTCAGCATTTGTTTCGGCATTTTCTCTTGTCTCATGTATGAATGCATGATAAATTTCTAAAGTGCCTTTTATACGTGACTTAGCGCTATTTTTTTTTTTTTGATTTTTTTTTTGTTTGTTGGTTAAGAGAAATGTAAAAAATATTAATAGTATCAGAATATATAGAAACATTTGAATTGGATACACAAATATGTCACACTAGTATGACACTACCACAACCCAATAAACTAAGGACAATAAACACAACTTAAAAACTAAAGGACAATAACAAACATAAAATATATTATATATAATTGTTTTCAGTTTACATGAAAACACCATTAGAGAAAGCATGTTTTTCCAGGGAAATTTAAGTGAAGTAGTCAATTAGTAAGAAGGCAAATAAATACGTTTAATACGATGTTTACTATAAAGGTGAGGTGAACTAATTGATTTCTCATTTTAGAAAACTTTTATGAATCGAAAACAAAGTAGAGTAAAACTACTAAAGAATTTCATTCTGCATACAACAAATTTATCAAAACCAAATTTATAGTTTTCTGGTTGACCTTGTTTTCAAAAGAAAATATAGAAACAGAAAAAAAGTTAAATCATAAGATAACCAAAATAAACATACCCTACTGACCTTCTCGGCCTAAGCGCATAACTTTGTGGTCCAATAGTGCGTCCTTCTTGTTCTGTTGGTAAATTGACCAGAGTTAATTCGACCATACCTAGGAAATCATCTCGCGTCAAACGGTTCTCATCGAAAACTTGAAACACTAATTTATGTTCTGATGGCTTTACCTGAGTAGTAAATAAATATTAATAAAATTAATTTTAAATTTTAATAATTATTTTGTAATTAATTTTAAAACATATACAAAAGGAAAATATAATTAACTTTTCAAGTTAATTATTAATTTTCATTCTTCGCAAGGACTTCAGAAAAATCACCTCAGTTAGTGCAATCACTTTTTCTTCTTTACATCCTGTTATCATAAAAATATTAACAATAAGGTTTCCCTATATTGTTAACATTATGATTATAACCCCTAAGAGTTATCCCAGCAGACAGAAAGTACAATCAGTCTACTATAATACACTTAAACGTCTTGTTAAATAAACATGAGAGTTTAGATTTACGTTGAGATAATTGAAGCATTGAGGATAAGACAGGCAGTGTGCGAAATTGATTGAAATCTCTTTCCAGATTGTAGTAACTTGCCAGCTAACTTGATGGAACGGAGTCAGGGAACAATTAAGCTAAGATTTATATATACCAAGCATTTTAACAATATCATAAAAATTAGAGGTCTGGAGACATCTCAAGAATTTAATAAATAGTTTTTAATAAGTATATATTTTGCATATGAATATTTCCATAAAGTAAGTAGTAGCACTTTAACTCTTTATTAACTCGAGGTATTATTTACCACTTCATCAGACTAAGCAGTAATTAACCTCAGGTATGCATACCTCCCCGAGGAGCCTGTAACCATTCTGAAATTCGATAAGGCGGTGTTGGTAAGTCTGTCAGTTTTCGCAAAATAATGGTAATGTTAATTTGGATATGGCTTATTCAGCATCGCTTCATTAAGAAATCAAGTAATTACAATTCGATTTAATAGAAAATTCGGTCAACTAAAAATGCAGTACGAGACCAAGGTTGTCAGACAACAAAGTTCTTAACATGTGTTGCTATTGTGAGAATTGTGTTTCGATAGCTTAAAATATATCAAGAACTCTATGATATACTATAAGACCAGGCTAACAATATATAAGTAAAACATCTTTAAACTTTTTTTCAGGGCTTAAGAAGGTCTTGGTCATCCACTGTTGCCTTAAGTGTTTCACTCAGGAAATGAGTTTAAATAGCTTTAAAAACGCAGTGACGTCACAACTTTATGTCACGCGGCGCATTTAATATATAGTAGAGGTGCGACAAGCGCTATTACAACGGCATTACTAAAGCGCAGTTTTGCAATAAGAGAATAGATTATATCACAACCAAAAACATACGTTTGAGCTTAGTGTGCTAGACGACCACTTGACGTTCAGATTACACTGACTTAGGGTTAAAGTTTTACACTGACTTAGGCATTCGATTGTTTTAGACTACATCAGAAATAATATACATCGATTTCAAAATACAAGAAATACAAAATCGTACTTACTCTGAATACGAATTCTTCATTCCAAGTGGGATTTAGGGTCTATAAATTAAAAATGAAATTTCAAATAATTTTTTATCATTTTTGAGAGAGTTATTATATATATTTACTTTTTTTTTGGTCTTTGTTAAGACCGAATCAATATTAATATCACCATTTATTGTGTTCAAATCAATTCTTACGTAGGGATCACTGTAATGGAAGTATTATCGATAAGAACATGCAATTATATAGGTGTGAAAATTTAAACGGTTGTAGTTACCTAGCACCAAAAATATCTTTTTTCGCCAACGATTTTCCATTTATCACAACAATGCGCAAATGACACGTATCGGCAACGTCATTCTGAAAGTAAAAACCAAATACATATTTAGACATAATTACAATAATAAAAAAAAATAAAGAACTTTAAAAAACAAACTACAACTAGGGCTTTAGTTTCTAACACAATGTGATCCAATAAGCGACACTCAGCTGTTGTCTATTTAAATAATTAACGAGTATTGCTGGACTTGCAATACACATAGCAGTAACAGTGCAAACGTGCAACAGAATTTCGAATCCATAATTTTGAACAAAATGCTGGGTCGGTCATTCTAAACGACAATACGTGTAACTGCGTATATAATCCGCAACGCAAAAACAAAAAAAAAGTAAGTCAATATAGACATACATTAAGGTTGTAGGGTTTGTGTTACTGTTTTTGCTTTCATTTGATGCAATGCGACATTCTCAAAACCATGACCACACCATATCATAACTATTGACGCATAAACGCCTACTTGACGTACATGCCAGTGGT